TACTAATAAACTAATTTTATTAATAATTATAAAATTATTATTTGTTATATCATAATAGTATGAAAATGTTTAAAAAGAAGTATGGAATATTGAAAAAATATTATTTATATGTAATATATAATTCTTTATTAATAACATTAAGGCTTGTATTTCATTTAACCATATTTAGTATATATAATACGATGCAGCATTTATAATGGAAATAACTATATTACTAATATAATTAATAATATATTTACAAGAATATAAAAAAATAATAACACCTCGTACACTTCCTTGCTTGTAATAATGCATGTATAAAAATTTAAAATATAAATAATAAGAATTGGAACTCTATTAATAAGATGTGAAAAAGCGATAATTATAGATAATAAATATGTTTTTATTCCGATTTTTTATAGACAAGGCAATATTTATTTCTAACTGTATAACAATTAATAACAAAAAATATATCTCTATATTGTGTTATAATATACTAATAAGAAAGTATTAATAAAAGAAATATTAATATAAAAATATATGGACCTAATATCTATTTAATGTTTTTTCAAAATAAAATATTTTATAAGTGTAAATCAATAAAAATAATTATTTCTGTAATAGAACATATTATTTAAAATGAACATACTAAATTATGAATATAAAAGGCAAAAACATAATAACAAATATGTATACATAAATAAGCAAATATTAAAAATAAAAATACATTTATATGAACATATAAATACTTATAACATATATATTTTATGTCCTAAGGTCAAAAAAGGGATTAATTATTAACATGATATATGACATTGTCTATTCTACATGTAAAAAAATTTACACTTCCTATATTAAACTATCGAATTCTGAGAATAATCATATAATACATTAAACCATGAGATTTCTGATTGTTGACCAGAATGGTCTAATATTTTGTTCATTTTTTTTGATCCTTCCTTATAAGTACTTTTTAAATTAGTTTTTTTCACCCCAATTAGTTTTCTTATACAAGAATTCATAGGACCAAACTATAGCATAAATAGAAAAGAAAATTGTATTTATTTCTAATATATATTTAATTTTAGTGATTATAATCTTAAATTAATAAAGAAAAAAATATATTGATTTATTATAAATGATATATTACTCTATATATAATGATACATATTATAAAAATTACCAAAAGTACGTATCCCATAGATGCAGTTACAATCGAAGCGCCAAATAAAGAGCATGATGAGCAACTTTGTTTATGTTCATTACATTCACTACATCTTCCATTTAAATAAGATTCTATTTCGTCTTCCTTAGTGCACATTATTGGTATTATTTCCTTACGATGTTGATCTGAGTAATTTTTTTTATTTCTCGCGCACCAATTATAGTTATGTTTTTCTTCTTTCAATTCCTCCCACAATATCTCAATGTGTTCATTCAATTTGATTTCATTCATGTAACACAATCCATTAGAGGAATATAAAGCTTTTTTTTCATTTAACCATTTATTCAAATATTCACACAATTTTCCACAAGTATCCTTATAACATTTATAAGTGTTTTCTGTACATTTTGACCAACAAAGGGTTTTTGTAGTATCAATATTCTAAATAAGATAAGCAGCAATATTTATCAAAATAGAGTCATTTGTACTTAAAATATCTTCACGATCTTCTATGTCAAAATTGTTTACAGCAAGAGCAGGTTTAAAAAATGTATCGTAACAATCTTAATCAGTAAAGAGACCCTTCATTAGCGAAAATAAATAAAAATATAGAAAGAGTAGGAAATTTAAAAAATACATCAAAAAAAATTAAAGAAACATTTTATTATATATATTAAATATTATGAACTATGTATATTATAAACATATAAATGTCACAAACTTACCATTTTTAACTAATTATGTTAATTGATTTAGAAGAAGGATTCATATTAAAAAAATATTTATAAATAAAAGAATTAACATTTAAATATTGAATACGATATAGTAATAAGAGTATACAATATAATGTCATTTATAATAAACGAGCATAAATAAAATATTGTACGTTTTCCTATTAGAATTGAAATATGTGAAAAAATAAATATTTATGTATTTGCTCCTTCATATAAAAAAAAGTATGTATAACTACATGTAATATCAACTAAAGCTGTAATTTTATTTACAGATATAATAATTGAGCTTATCATAATAATTAAAATAGAATTATATATATCACTTAAATTTAATCATAACAAAATTTGAATTATTTTGGTTAGGTTATAATATAAACCATATATTTGTGAGAATAATACTGCTTTATATTTATTTAATATAAAATTTTTCATTTTTTAATAGTTAGCCAAAACAATGATGTAACATGTTCTTATAATGCACACAGCCTAATAATAGCAATGTATGCTTTAGTATGTACGTAAAAAATTTTCTTATATATCTAAAAACAAAATTTATTCCTATATAAATAAATACTGAATTATATATTATAACACAGATTAGACAATATATAAAAAATTATATTTTATTTTAATATATAACATATTTCATACTATTTTATCTATAATATATAATTTATTAAACTCTTTATATATCAAGGCTTAAGAAGAAATTTTATTTTTATAAGCTTATTCAGAAATTAAAGAAATAAATATACCTATGTCTATATAATGATGAAATAATGCATATTTTATATTGAGTGAAGTAAATCTATAATATATTAAATAAAATTAATAACAAATTTGTAATTTATTGGTTGTTATGAGCTCTTATACTTAAATAATTGTTACTCTGTTATAAGAACAAATAAAATATGAAATAACTAAATGTAATATTAATGATTTAGGTACATGTCATAATGTTTAAATTTTCATCCTTATAATATATTAATTATATATTTATGTTTTAATAAATATTATCAATGTTTTATTATCATTTGAATTATGATAGTTTTATACTATAAAACACATATTTTTACCTATTAATATATGATATATATAAAAATTCTCTATGATTTATAAGAACAGTAAATATTAAAACATGTATATACATTATATTATTATTTATTTTAATTTAATATAATATTTATATGCTATTATTTATTAATTTTTTGAAAGGAGATCATTTTATTTCATTTATATATATGCAATATAAAATGAAACTTTTCCATTATATATTAAGTATATGACATAGTTTTATTTCTAAAGATATATCATTTAACAATATTTAATGTGTACTATTGAAAAAATAATGTTTAATCTTTTTATTAATTATATTATTTTAAAATATTATGAATTCATAAATTTTTGTTATTGGGAGTAATTATAGAAATAAATATTTGTAATTTTCCACTTTTTGTTTGCTTTACATTTTGTTGAATCACACAATATAACATTATTTCCTCACGATATATGATATAAAAACTTTATAATACGAAAAAAATCAAATGAAGCAAAATAAAAATACCCTTATAATTACAAAAAGATAAAATATGTATAAATATATTTTTGAATTTCACGTACATAAAATAAGGAATATATTATATTATATTTATTTAGATTTATCTTACTTCTCTAGATTGTTCCTTCAAATTTTATACTGTATAGTACATATATACATTTATTAAATATATTTCTTGTTACTACATAGTATTTTACAGGAAATATTATTAAATTCTTTTTAAAACACATTTTATAAATAATTTAATTTCATTTCAGTTTCTAAAAATAGGAAAATAACAAATAAGTTAAGACTGTATAAAATGTTATATAAAAAACATATTACTTTTATGTAAGCTAAGAATTATATTTTTTCTTCATTCAATATGATATTCCTACGTAAAATATATATTTAATATATTATAGCAGAATTTATATTTTAAAATCAACTTTTATTTAGTGTTTCATGAATTCTGTGCACATTATAATTATAGAACACTAGAAAAACATTTGCTTGCGCAATATTATAATTAATAATGTCATACATTACTTAAATAGTTAAAGTTACAAAAATTTATAATAGATTTATATTATAAAAATTAATTGTGTAAAACAATAATAATAATGTACATAAGGTAAATATTTTTGATTCCTTATTAATAAATATGTGTCATAATATATAATACGTCTTATCATATAAAAGTTAAGGAAAAAATTATGAATTTTTAAAAATAACACTCATATAAAGATATATAATATATAATTTCTATTAATGATTAGAAAATGATATATATTGGGGTAAAAAATATCCAGCATTATATTTTTGTAAGGATAAAAACATTGTTATATATGTAAATGAACACGAATATATTTTTGGAGCCTCACTATATTATATTTAATAAGATAAACATATATTTGATACTTTTATATGCATATTTTATCACATTATTAAAAAATATGTTATGAATTAAAAATAATACATTAAAACATGTACTTGAATTCTTTATGTACATAATATTAAAATATTAAAAGCATATATTCTGGTCAATGAAATATATAAATAAAAAATAATTAGCAAAAATTGGGAAAAATTTTTTAATCTTATATGATACTTTAAAATATATATAAAATGAAGTATAATTAATGATATATCTAAAATTCAAATTTACATGATATATATACACATAATATGTGAAATTATGTTAATATCTATATTAAAATATAATTTTTATATAAAAACAAAATTATAATTAAGTTTATAGAGCAAATAAGTATTTTATAAAATAAAAAAAAATATAATAATCTATAAAATAAGTTAAAATATAGTAAATATATACTTCATTATAACAAATTATAGTAAAGTAAAAAAATATCGTATTAAATAATATAAACATATTATGTTTAACATACTGTATACAATGAATAATAAATACATATTAGATTATATATATTTTTGTATTTTATATTATTACATTAAAATATTATATATATATATTATTATTATTTCTAATAAATAAATAAATTTAATTTATTTTTTGTATATTTCATTTTTATATAAGCTTCTATTAGATTTAAAAAAAAAAAGAATGTCAGGAATTTTACATGTACGCACCTCAATATAATTTGCATATATATTGTTGTAATATGTTGTGTGTAAATATCTGAAGGAAATTATTAAATATAAAATTGTAACTTATTGCATAATTAATATCTTCTTTCATAATTATAGAAAAATGATTTACATAGTTTTCCGTCTAATTATAATTATAGAAAATTCAAAACTACTATAGATTTATGAGGAGATACGTTGCAAGGTTTACGTAAAATTTTACAGAATTATTTTGCTATTAATGATATAATAGAACTTTCGAAAATAATATGTAATATGGCCTATCATGTTGGCATATCAAATTCTTACGAAGAAATGTGTGATCATATTTACTACTTTTTAGGTAGCATGATAGCTGATAAGGTAACTGATAAAGGTATATTTAATGCAGATATTCATACATATTATGTAGGATTATATAATGCAAGTGTAAAAAGTAAATGTAAGTATCCTATTTTTTATATTAACATAAAGGATTTTAAAAAAATGAAAATATTTTACGATTATACTAAAAATTTTGCAAGTATAAAAATTGCTCTTAATAATAGTAATAAGAAATGTATCTCTGAACATAAAAAATACCTTGATGGTGCAACTGTGATATATAACCATCTAAAGAATGAATGTAATTCAAGCGATAGTAAAGAATATTGTAATTTATATAAAAAATTATTACAAAGTAATAATAATAAAATCGAACCATTAACATGTACAGAAATTGAAGATTCATCCTTACAATTATCCACAGTTATTGAAGGTATATCCTTGCAACCATCCATAAGGATTGAAGGTTCCCATAAAAACGAAGTAGCATTATTCAATTCTGATTATACTCAACATAAGTCATCTAAATTATCTCTTTATCTATTAATTCTTTTCATTGCTATATGCATTATTTTCCCTTTTTTATATAAAGTACATAGGAAGCAGCATAAAAACATTATATAGTATATAATTTTTGATAATAAATTATCATCACTAAAGAAATTATAAAACATATTAATGATAAAAATATACAATATACATCATTTATCCTTTAGTTTTCTCCAACTGGAACACAAATAAAAACAAATTTCAAAGATAGCGAAGATGTATGGAGAAAATTAATAGATACAGGAAAATAAGGATTAAAAGAAGATTTTTTAAAATTTTACGAACCATATTTTCATAGAAATGTATTTGCAATATCATATGGTACTTCATAAATTTCCCCATGTATAAGGATCAATGTAATTGGAATTCATTTTTTAACATATTCCACAAGTGTTATAATATTTAATTAAATGCTTTGTAATAATGATAATGCGAAAAAAATTATATATATTTATCTAAAAGAAATTACTTATATAATAATGATATAAATTCATTGAATAATTATACTATAAATTTTCAAGTAGTTCAGAAATCATAAAATTTATATAAAAAAAAAGCAAGTAATAAAATATAAACCATTATATTATAATTATCTACAGATTTTTCAAATTTTATTTGTAGAATTATATATCTTATATTAATTAAGTCAAAAAAAATTTTTTGATGAATGTGTTAAGATTTGTATTTGAAATTATCATTACTCCATTCTTTTTTTATTTTTTTATCTTAATTTTTTTGAGAAGTAAATACAAAAAACATGGATGACACTAATAATAAGCAAGCAATAGCTTATTTTTGTGAATATATTATTTTTTTATATAAAATTTCGTTCTAGATTTGATGCACATTACAGTAAAATTTACTATTAGTAATTAGAATTTATTATTAATTTTACGCAAAAAATATATAATTAAGTATAATACAAATGTTGTAATAAATTTAATTAAAATAACATCTCTCGTGTCTACAGCATAATAAAAATATTGAGTTTTGGTAACATTTGGATATTTAGGCCCTATATGTATATATTTATTATATTCATCTTTAAACTTATTTAATATATAACAAAAAATCTTGTTAATTTTCTTCAGTATATCTGTAAGTCATTTCTAAATATGTAACGGAATTTCTAGCTATAGGTAGAATTCCTTGATTATATTTCTATTATTTGTTTATTCTTCAAATGTTTTATACAGAATATCACGTTTTTCTAATTAAGAATTGTACATTCATCAAGATTATAGGTATATTTGTAGACGTTTTAATTTCATTTTTATAGATAAATTTAAAATTGATATTTAGATGTAAGATCATGTTATGTTATTATGAATTATATAAGCTATTAATATATTTCTTAGTATTTATTTTAGGTGAGTACATCTTTTACCAGCATAAAGTGATTATATATGTTCATACATAATAAATTATGAAAATTATTCGAATATCGCATTTAAAATTAATCATTGTATGTATATGATATTTTAAAACTCTTATTATTTCATTACACGCTTTGTCACATTTCTATAAATTCTTTTATATGTAGAAAAATTAAAAAGAAAAACATATATTTGAGAAAATATATCCATAAAATAAAACGTTAATAAATAATATGCATAAAACAAATTAAAGTACTATTTTATATTGTGATATTATTTATATTTAATGTTTATATAATTAATTATGTAGAACAATAATTTTCTTTAAATGTATATTTACATATTACATAATATTCAGCTTATATAATATAATATTGATTTAAATTAATTAATCTTATGTGTTTAATCAATGAATAATGTTAAATTATATAATTAATATTGTTTATATATAATGTATATCTATGTTAAAAATTTTGTTCATCAGATTTTGGGTAATCACTATCTAGCCTAATCATTATAAATATTAATTAAAGTAAAACTAAAATATAATTTTATTGAAAAATCATTAATTATTATAAAAATGGTGTAATCACAGATAACAGGTAACATTGATTTAACTCATTAATTTTTTAATATTTATATTCATGCAGTAGATAAAAAAAAATGACAATTCAATAATTTTAGCACCATAATATTGAAAATATTTTATAAATGTTTATATACCTTTGGCATTTTTTCTCTCCTTTATAATGATATTTACGTATCACACAATATATTATTAACATTTATTGACAAATTTTAAATAAAAGTTAAAATATATAACATTTTATACTAATTAACTAATGTAAAATAATATTTTTTCACATAGATTTTATAATTTATTTACGAAATAAAGTTATAATAGTGGGTATTTTTTAAATTTGCTTTTTAATTCATTCATTTGTTATACTGTAAAATTTTAGCTTTTGCTATCATTATGCTCAATTATAAAAAATGAAAATAACTTATATTAAAATCTATAAGAGGAAATTTATTTGTTTAATAATCTTACCAATATTAAATTAATATATGATATTTTAAAATTTCATAGTTCTTATATAAACATTTATTACATAAGTAATATATTTTATTATTTGACATCTTGTATTCAAAAATATTAGAAATATAAGAAACACTTACTAAAAATATATATGTTAACTAATATTATTATTTACAATATTTTAATATACATATAGATGTTAGATTGTATAAATTCAAATAAACTAAGTAATTATTATACAATAAAACACTTATTATAACATATATAATATATAATATAGAATATATATATTTAATTGTAATTCTAAAAAATACTGAAACATAAAATGCTGTTGAAGTTCCTATAATATTATTAATTTTATGAATATCTTAGGAAGTATAAATGGGGAGTTCAGAGGAATTAGATAATTCTTTAATATAATTATCTACCGTATATTACGTATGAATATTATTTTACACTACACTAATCTCTAAACGCTGGATATCCTTATATTTTATATGTATTCTTATATTTCTTATATCATATATAATATTATAAAAATTACAATAAATAAAAATTTATTACATATATATTTTCATACCAGAAGAACTTGGTAGTGTTATATTTTATAAAACAATATACTTTTTACTTTTTCTACATAATATAATTAATTTTTTGTTTCATGTTCTCAAATAAATAAGAAAATATATTATATGTCTAAAATGTTTGCAACTATGTTTCTAGATCTATATAAATTATTCATAAGGTAATTCAAAACATTTTTTTATCACATATGATTTAAAAAAACGGAATTTTAATGTTCTTCTTACTGTGTGTATTTAATTCTAAAAATTAACGGTTTATCATCCTAAATTTAATCATTTCATTTTCTTGACCATTAAATAAATATAATTATAAAAAAATTGGTGATAATAGATGCAGGTTTAAATTATGATAATCTTACTAAATATATTATTTTGATGAATATTTATATTATTTACTTTATTCATTATAATAATTTTTTCAGTTAAATACAATTAATTTTGCATAATTATTTTTACTCTTTATTTAGAATATATTAATAAATTTATTTCCTATATTTAAGGAAATTATAGATGTACATAAAGATTATGGTTCTGAAGGATAGGAGGAAAAATGTAATAATATAAGTAAAATTTTAAATGGTCATATTTTGGAAATACATAAAAAGACCTGCGTACAAATTATGTTATATTTAGTGGATACAGCAGATATAAATGATAGCTTCTTATCAGAAGCTTCTTGTAAGTACCTGTATTATTGGGTATCTCCTATCCTTGAAAATGGGGTAAATGATATTGTATATATAAAAAATATTTATGACGCTCTTCTAAATTTATATAAATGCTTTAGACGTCAGGAACATATGTGCAAATAATATAAAGGACATATTAAAAGGGATGATTTTGGGGTACTGAAAACTAAACATAATATTCGTGCTTATACTAAAAATAGAAAACGTTTAGAAAATGATAAAACATTCAATGATTCTGCTTTTAATGAATTAGTAGCTATTATTAAAAGAAATTCCAAACCATTAATTATAGCACCCATATGTGAAGAATGTACATCTATAAAAATACGTTGCGAAAAAAATAATATTGTAGCATATATTGTAATTACAATTGTTGTAATGTTATTAACAACAATATGTTTATTCATCTTGTTTAAAGTAATCATGTTGTAATTTGCATTTATATATATAATATATAATATTATAAGACCTCTATATAATATATAAACATAATTTCCTAAAACAGTTTTACACTTGATGTATAATTATCTCTTTTATCTAATAAGCTCACCACTTTTGGTTCATTTTTACAACGCAACATAAAATCCTTGAAAAATAGGAGAAATGATATAGAAGAACATAATATAGTGGAGCAGTCAGAAATATCAAGAAATATTTCATTAGATAATAGCTATAATGTATTATAAAATTGAGATGAAGTTTTATATTAAATATAGCATTAAAATAAAATTATTGTTATGAATAGATATAAGTGATTTATACTGAAGAATACTATCTAAATATATATAAATATATATATAAGCTTAAGATTGATATACATTTAGATAAACAAACAAAAAGAATCACAAAAAATATTGTTCGGGGTAAATATAAGTTATTTATAACAAAAAATCTATAAATATAATAACAGTTGCTCTAAAATAACATTACATTTTGTAAAATTATTATTAAAAATAGTTTTACTTTTTTAAATGTTATTTTTTAATTAATTATATATAACTAACTTATTCATTATTCTATTTTGCTTCTTTTTATATAGTTATATACTTACGTTTATTTTATTAATGTAATTTTTTTTAATAATTTTTCATATATATATAATATTTTTTATATTATTTAAAGTATTGTAATTATTTACTATGTATTAATAGGATTTTTTTATATATTTGTTCATTCATTAGCTTGTAGCGTACCCTTATATCATAATTATTTAATAAGTTCATATATCATGCATATTATTTATGAAGACGTTAATGGTATATATTATAATATAAAAAATACACTAATTTCAAATATATAATAATTAAGATAAACAAAATATTTAATAAAAAAGAAATATTGAATTTAATATAAAACATTTTATTTAGTAAACAAAATTTTTGCCATATAAAAAATTACACGTATTTATTAAAAATTTATGATATAAAAATATCATAAATTTAATATTGTTTAGAAACAATACCATATTAATTGTATAAAAAATGTTTTGATATTTGAAACATTCTATGATGCGTATATAATTTTAATAAAACTTAAATATATTTTACATTATCATATACGATTTGTCTATTCTTTTATTTATTATATATGTATATATTTATTAGACCTTTTGAATATTCATGAAAAATTTAATTAATATGAACCAAAAAAGTACGAAGGCAATAGAGTTAGTAATAAATGGATAATAAAAACATACATTTGCATATGTTTTTTTATCTAAACAAAAAACATTTATTAAAATAATTATTACATATAACATTCTAAAATATTAACTTTCCTATTGAACATGTGTACTTTTAATTAATAAAAATCGAAAAAGAAAAATATATGTAACAAAAGAATGAAAATGTATTTTGAATAAAAATATAAGAAAAAAACATATAATTCACATTTATTCTAAAAATAATTTCATTTATATATTAGGTATTTATATAATATAACATTTCAAATCTTTGAAAGAGTAAATAATAAAATATAAGAATTATAAATGTTTTATAATATTATATGTATACGATCGTATCATACTTTATATTTATATAAATAACAGATGATTTGTTATAAAAATATCTTAAGTAATCATATAACATAATATAACATATATTATTTATAAATATTACAATTACATAAATATATATAAAATTATATCAATGTGCTATGTTGAGCTATCTCCGATTAATAAATATTTACATATACATATAATATATATAATTTAAATGGATACACAGTATTATCTAAATTACATACTATTTATTAAGTTCATTTTATGCTTATGTAAATATAATAGGATCTACTTAAATTAATAATTTAATATATTAGTACAAAAAAAAAAAAAAATACATATATGTAAATTTGAATATAACATAATTTAAAAAAAAATAGAGAAAAACATAATAAAGAAATCTTATACATGAATTATAAAAATTCATTCTTAAAAAATGAATCTAAACCATAAATTCATAATGGATCATGCGTTTCCTGACGTAAATATGATGCATATATCTACAAATTTATGCATATTTTATAATATACATATACTAAATATAACACAATATATTATGTTTTAAAATTAATAATTTTTTAAATATAATAGAGAACATAGATTTGCATAAGTGTTTAAATATATTTTTTATTTGTCCTTTTATTTTTAACACTTAATATGGAGAATTTTAGAATAAATGAATTGCCTTCAAAAAAATCATACGAATTTTTGAATAATCGTATACGGAATTCTGACAATTATTTTAAATATTATAGTTCTGCTTATTATATTAAAAATAATTTCCATGACATTCGAATTTTTTTTTTCTGAACTTATTAATTCTTTAAAAAGTGAAAACAATATATGGAATAGCCTTGGTTACAAAAATGTATATTGCAATCTTTTTAGTTTCTGGATATATGATAAATTAGTAACTAATTACATGGGAAGCACATCTATTGCTAATATCATCTACCCTAAAATTCAAGACATATTCATACAAGCTTCTTCATTATATGATAAATCCTTTCATCCAATATGTCAACTTGATTCTAAAATGACTAAATATGATGATTGGAAAAAGGCAAAAAAATTATATGATTATTGTCTAGATTATGAAACAGTTAAGGAAATGTATAAGCCCGATACAGAGAATTGCAAAGAATATCATGAATACTTTGATCATGAAAAAGATGTGTATATTTATTTTAAGGAATATTGTAATTCTAGTAGTGGTGATCAGTGTCCAATATCAGATGAGATATTTAATAAATGCGATCCAGAAATGGTATTAAAGGACCATAGCTGCATCACTGGAACGACTGAAACAGATAACAGTGTTATGGAGCAATCTTTAAGCATACATGAAAATAATTCAATTGAACAAGAAAACAAAATGACAAAAATAGCCTTATTTACAACTTTTGAGGACCCCAAATTAGGAGGTGAGAATCCCAACCCTCTAGCAATGCTCGGTAATATCATTTTAGGAGGAATCATCACTTCATTGATTTTTGGTATTTTATATAAAGTAAATACGATTTTATTTGATATACATATAACATGTATGTATTCTGGTTACATGATTTGCCTAGTAATATATAATAAATTTATATATTGCATATATTTCATATAATTCTTGCTTATAATAGTATACAACCATAGGTAGTCAGTTAAGAAATATCATTGTAAATATAAAAAAGGTGATAAGTTATCATAATAAAGAAGACAGTGAATTATATACTGATGCATCAGATTATCTTAAACCTTATTATCAGGATCCAAAAGAACATTATGTTGGATACTGCGTTTCGTAGATCGTTTTATTTCAAATATTTATTAATATAAAATATATCAATTGTGTTAATATTAATTATGAATGTACCGGATAAACTAATATTTATATTAATATATAAAAATTCTGGTAAAACAAAAAAGAATATTATCTTTTTTATTTAGTGTTTATATGAATCCTTGTGAAAAATATGCCGATTAAAAAAAAGAAAGAATATATAAAATAAGTATATGTGTAAAAAATTGAATTTCAATAATATATAAGTAAAAATGAATTATTAATTGTACACATTAATTGTTACAAAAATATCATTTACAATAATATTTACGCCTTATGTGTGAAAACGATAAGAAATATAGTAATATCTAACAATTTCAGTAGACTATAATTCTTCGAATGATACATATAAGAATACTAAATTAAATAGGAAATAAAAATGCATATTATAAATTCACTCTGTATATATAAAACACTTTGTTTATAAAAATATTTCAATATTTTCTTATTTAATTTGTAATTGAATAATTCTGTTTAAAGAAATATTAATATGTAACTAGGAATGTTATATTAAAAAAAATTTTACATAAGAATTTTATATTTATATTAAACATGTAAGTATATTTTTTATCATAAGGTATCCGTTATAATATATACATTTTCAATTTTTATGAATAAATAATTGAAAATCTTGTAATTTATTTATATATGTTTCTCCTGCTTTGCATTTCTACATCATTAGCATATAATTGAAATTATTGTTATGTTTGATATAGTTATACATTATTTAAATATCTTTGTAATAGACAGTTATACATCAACAGACAACCCATGAATAAAAATATTCAAAATTTGAAAATTTATGGGTGGTTAACTTTAATTATTTTTATTAGTTTGAAAGCAGTATCAGTTACGCACCAGATCATTCGTACTTTTATATAAACATTAGTATACCTATAAATAGTGTAATTATGTTTGTATATTCCAAATCCTTAAAAAGATGATTTGAATATTGTTTTAATAAATATGTCAAAAAAATAAAATTTATATAATTTACTTGACATATTTTTTATTATAATATAATTATACTTCAATTCAACTTACTTTACCTAGTGTAAAGAACTAAATATTTTTCGTTGTATCACATGCATTAATAATTATATGAGAAGAATTAAGGTATATTTAATTTTTAGGTCCAATTATAATGATATTTTGTCATTTAATTATACTTCGATATTTTATATTTGTGTTCATGTGTGTTTTGTGGCGACAATCTTCTCTCATGGAGACACCTCTGCAGACTATGACTAGTGATGCTCTATTTTTATGAAGATAAAAATGATTAAATGTATTTGTATATTAATTCAACATTAATTGTTAAATAAAATTGATAATTGTAGTGCATACAATAAATAGAATATTCAATTAAATTTTTATTATAATAGTTATAACATAAAAATGTAATTGCGAAGACTATGACAACTACAAAACACACGATAAAATCATTGTTGTATAGAAATTAATAAGAATATCAATTATGTCATTATTCAAAAAAACCTTCATTACATATTAGCATTCATAATCTACTTATAATTTTTTCTTATATAAAATTACATTGACAAAACTTCTACACAACATATATATATATTTTTTTTATTTGTGCATTAATAAACATACTTATATTAGAATCATCTATTCCTACATTGAATGAGTGCTTATCTAAAAATTTTTATATAGAAAACAAATCATTTCATTAATTTATTCATTTTTATTATTCATTTATAATAAAATATTATTCATGCTACAACATTCATTCAATTATAATTTATGTCTTCCATTGCATTAACTGAGTATAATTTCTATGCTAAAACTGATTTATCCATCCTAAAACAAATATGATAAAAATATAATCAAGTATGAAAAATGAACAAAATATAAATAAAGAATTATTTTATCCATAAAAAAATTATGGAATTATTCAAATTAACATAGATCAATATGTACATAAAGAACTGGTGTGTAAAATTTTATTAGAACTGTTCCTGAAATAAGAAAATTTAGAATAAGCACACAAGCATTAATTAATACAATAAATGTTACAAATAAAAATATTTATTACTATTTTAAGAAATAGAATTGGTAAATATATGTTCACTGATAATTCATGTTACGTGGTTTCGTTATACATATATTTATATTTTATGTACATGTATCATTGTAACATATATGTATGTACGAAAAGTATAAAATAATTATTTAAATTAATATATCTACAAACATGAAAATATATTATATATATGAAATGTTTATGAATAGAAATACTTCTATAGTGCGCTTTTAGTATTCAATATATTTTTCCCAATAGTATACATGTATTTCATGATAATCAACAACTGTAGTAATAAATATGAAATAATTCAATTTAAATAAGTTTTTTTGTATTCATGTTATATAATATTTAAATTAGTTATCAATTTTCATATATATAATATGCACTACTCTATATAAAAGTAAATAATTATAAGTAATTATATATAGACAATGAATAAAGAAAAAAAAAATTTATAGTAGTATGACAAAATATATAACATTTTTATAAATTATATTTCTTATAACAACTAATGTTAGAATTTCTTTGTAATATAAATATTTCAAAGTTATGAATTGTGTTAGGATTTTATTATTAATTATATTCTTATAATGCTTTTCATTCATAATATATTAAATTATTAATATACATATGCTATCTCATCATGTTATATTGAACATAAATAAAAGAAAAAAAATAATTTTAATTATAGTTTTAAGTATATGTATTTTTGCAATAAGTGTAATATGTTATGTTTTAATATAAATTTATATTATCATAACATGGTCCCATTATAATCAATAGAAAAATATATAAAATGAATTATTCCATATATATAATAAATTTCAATATTTTAATTGTAAATTCTTTCTATAAAATACCACATTAAACATTAGGTTTTATAAAATTTTTCTAAGCATAAATTTAAAAAAAATTTAATATATTCAATCCCTAAATACTGTCGAAGAGCGATATGTATAATTAAATATATTTAAAGCAGTTAACACTCTTATTCCTGTAACAAGTGAATAATTATTTAATAAGAAAAAAATATCCTTAAAAAAAAAGTTATATTTCTATTTTAGGTGAAATATCATAGTTTTAAGAAACTTTATAAGGAACATTTTTTTATATCTAAATAGTTAGAATAACAACGTGAATACTTTTTAAGTAATATTTTTATTTTTTTCATTAGTTGTTTTTATTATTTCAACGTTGTTATTATATATACATCAAACGTGACATAATCTTTTGTGTAGTTAAATAATCATTTTTTTATGGATCAATATAATTTATTTAATTATTATATTTTTATTAATGCAGTAATTTAAATATTAATTCATAAAATATTTATTTTAATTGAGCCCCCAATTAACAATTATAATAAAGGTGTTTATTTTACAAGAGTCTTTTTCGTTTTAGGTATCATATTTTTATTCGTACAATTAAAACAATTAAGCAAATAATGCATATATGTAGGAACGTATATATAGGAAAGATATTTCATCGAACAGATATATACCGTAAAGGAGGAACCTATATAATAGTACACCTTATGTTATTTAGGTTGTAATTTGTAATTTTTATGTGAAAAACAAATATATTTCAATAATTTCATTAGTGTTTATACTATATAAATGTTACGAAAAATTGATTTAACTATAAAAGAGGAATTATGACAAATATAAAAGTAAACCCTTTATTAAAAAATCCCTATTTGAATAATAGAACCCAGAAAAAGTGTGTATATTTTATCATATTTAACATTTATACGAATACATGTAACTCATAAATATAAATTATATAATATGTATAGTAAGAAGTGATATAGTATGCAAGCATATCAATTATAAGAGGGACAATGATAACAAAAAATAAATAACAAATTATACAAATAATGATAAAAATTACGAAATAAATATATCCTATAAATAAACTATTAGTTTTATCCCAATAATTGAGTTATAGTTAAGCATTAATATCAAAATTTGCACTACTATTTTCTTTGTTTCTTTTTATTACGTTATACTTTATGATTAGCTATATCATGTCGTTTCGTAAACAATGCAACATGGTTTATACCTTGTTTTTGTATGAAACTTTCTAGAACCTGATGGTGGAGTTTTTCTGTGATATCTATGAACAGATTCGTTAATTCTTTTTTTCTTCATTATCCTTTTACGTAACCAAGATCCCAATGAAGTATACTAATACAAAAATAAGAAATATAGAACATATAAAATTAATTTATTTTAGAATTAAAGAATTAGGAATATAAATAAATTACAAATAAATAATAGGATTATTGACACTTTATTAATGATATGATGTTACTTTATAATAAACAATAAATAGGACAATAAATCCAAGTGTTAACAAAGAAACTACGCTTACACGGAAAAACATAGTGTATAATATGTTATTTTTATCTTCTGATATTTCAATGTAGTTCTCATCGCTATCAAAATATTTTGTGACATTAGAACCGTCACTTTCATAAGTGATACTTCCATCAATATTTTTAGCAACATTTACATTTTGCATGGAGTAAGGGAATGTGGACTTAAAATATTTAACTTTAGATCCAATAGCATATTTATCCTTTAAATATCTCTGATTTACCCGAATATTTTTTATGTATTGACATAGTTTGTATCTATCATTAGTTGTATTATTATTACTACAGTCCACTGTTCCGTTTCCAAATTTCCATTTTATTAATGATTCTTTTTTTTCACTAGGGAATTGTAATTTTTCTTTTTGTTCTTCTGTGCGTTTATAGTTAAAAGGATATACTTTTTTATCTTTTGCATCTCTCCTTATTGTACTTCCCCCTGATACAGTAATAAAATATTTTTTCTGAGATGAAGATTCGGGATTTTGGTCTGCATCGTTAGGTTCAGTATGAGTTGTATTTTTTGGAGATTCTTCATGAGGTAGAAAAAGACTTACAATTGTTTTAATGTCTTTTCCTTTATTATTATCTAGGGGAAGAATTCTATAAGAAGCGCTATGTGGAGATTTATATTTTACTGGATATAAATTACATATTAGTCTATCATCAGAAGTATCTGTACACTTAGCATAATGAAACGTATCCATAATATCTTCAGAGGATTGTGGATTTTGTGGATCACGGTGGTTCTCGGGATCATTAGGCTTATTCATGTTCTCACAGTTCTCAGAATTAGATAATTTTAAAGAAGATAATATTTTTTCAGGGTTATAATCATCATTGCAATAAAAATAATTGGGACAATTGTTCCACCACAAGCTGAAGCAGCAATTTTTTTCATGTTTATGCTTTGTATATAAAACTTTTATTTCATTCAGATATTTAGTATATTGAAATAATTCAACTAATTTACATGTTTCAACACTCTTAATAGTAAAAAAATTTTGAAAATAATCGTACAAATGTTTCTCTTCTAATTTTTCTTTTAATTCTGTTATATCCGTTGTGTAAAAATTATAATGGCAATCATAAAACTCAAATAACACAACAATATATTTTTGTATATTCATAAAATTTTTAATAACATTTTTAATATTAGAAATTTCCTCATTATTTTTTAAGAGCTTATATAACTCATTATAAAACCAATATCTATAATGAGAACATCGATATTTATATGCATCCGTATTACTCAATTTAGATAAATACTCCGCGTTCCTTGCAATTTTTTTACAAAGTTTAAAATATCCATCTTCATTCTCCTTATCAATATTTAGCAATTTACACACTTCTTTGTAATTAATTTCATCAATTTCTTTATTTAATTCGTCATAAATTGTACCTGATTGTGTTTTTTTTAAAACAATATCCTGTGAATAAGAAAAAAAAATAATCACTTATACCAATCATAGCATATTTGTAGTAATGATGCAAAATGTAGAATATTATTAAAAGAAAAATTTTGCAGTGTAAGTTATTTATGATTGTTTGTTACACATTAATATATACCCAAATATCATTTTCCGCATCAGACATTTTTCAAAGAGCTCAAATTAATCTAAATATCACTCATATATGAATACCTATTTTTCAAGAATAATTACTCAAAAAAAACTACAAATTTAATAGAATGATATATATTATAATTGTAACTTCATATGCAGAATTCATGAACAATATTAATATAGGATAAAAAAATACACATTTGTCTTCACAATAAAAATGGAAGGGAAAATTGTTGTAATTAATTTAAATGTATTATTCTTTTAAAAACTATTATTGAATAAAAATTTTCCTTTTTTAATTAAAATATGTATTTCTATTAATTTCACTGAAATATAAACAAAAATATAAAATACATTGTAAAATATAAACTGAAGCATACGTTTATATTATAAAATGCGAAATCATGCTTAACTTTTAATGTATTCATTATAACTAATTCTAATACATTTAAAAATAAAAAATACTTGTACATTTGTTTAACATAAATTTTATATTTATAATTTCCACACTGTTTATTGCATCTAAATACTGACTATTAGGAGTAATTATTTTTTGTAATTTTTCCGAGATCATCCGAAAAAATATTACAAATATGCAATCACATTAATAATAAAAAAAAAAATGAAAAAAAAGTAATTATTTAATTAATATTTTTATTATACTATTAGATTTTATATGTATTTCCTTTATTATAATAAAAATGAGCATTAACAAAAGCAATTATTAATATTCATATTTACACATATTGCTTATTAGTACGTCATAATTATAGAAAAATAAGTAAAATATATACTTTTGCAATTAAAATATGAGTTAAATAATACAAAATATTTTTATATATATAGCATTTTATATATAATGGAAAAATTTAACAATTTTTTATATATAGAACATACAAAAGATGGGGAGAATAGTTATTTTTATTGTTAAATATTTTATAATATATTAGTTGAAATGATAAAAGTAATTACAGAAATTAAGATAAGCAATATAGTGCATTACTGGATTCATTTGCAACGATTTATCATTTATCATAAATTAGTTAATAATGGAGTTATTATATATTATATTTAAATATTTAAAATTTTTTATTTTTTTTTTTAAATCATGGAAATAAGTTCAAATATAATACTCTTTTATAGATCATGGTTAATTTATTGACTTTATTATTTCTTCCTATAAAAAACATTTTTGTAATTCAAAATATAACATTTCGCATGAATTTTTTATTATATGCAATAACATTATCTTGTTTAAATTATGCTATTATTACTAAGTTGAACTCAATAATTATTCGCATATCAATATTATTATAATAAATTTTTTTATTAATCCAGTGAAAAATGATCATTTGCTTATTTTCAATAAATATATAAATAAAGTGCTATACATATCCTCTTTATTCAAAAGTATATGAAATGCAATATATATGTACCTAAGGTAGATATCTTGAAAATTTTGTTTTTTATATTCATCCTCTATACCTCTATATATTTTATTCCGTTAAAAAAAAATAACTTAAAGTAATTTTAATTTGGGTGCTCGTTATGCAAATTACAGATTTTTATAGAATACAGTGGAATGCATGTGCATAAAGTGATTCCTCTTTATTTTTTATAAATATATATTTTTTTGCACCTCTACAATTTTTTAACCTATTCAAGTTAAAATTGTACTCACTGAATGTATTAGAAAGTTATAGAAGTTCCTTTATAGTGAATCATGATTTTATATGATTGAAAGAATTAATATAATATTTAATCATAATATGGTATATAAATAATATTAGGCTCAATTATATTTTATAAAATAATAAACACAAATTAAAGAAACATTTTTAATTATTATTACAATTTTTTTGGAAATTTGTTTTCTTTTAATTTTACAATTTTAGCAGTGTATATAAAATATATATGTTTATATATATAATTATTTATATCATATTCTGTTTATCCATGTACATATATTTTAATTAACAGTTCCTTATCAAGCAATATTTTTTAAAAAATATTTACTCTTAATATTATTTTATCATTAATTATATTGTATACGTACATTCATATATAAATATTTCACGTTATGTATGAATATAAAATTAGAACAAAGAACAATAATAACCTCGATGAATTAATCCTTATTAAAAAATGAATCTATTATGGATGAATATATATTTACTATTCTGAACCATTTGTAAAGTTAATAATATAACAGATAAATATAAAAAATAATAAATTCATTTTCTCTTTGAGTACTAGTTTGAGTCCAGAAATCAGATTATGACATATATCTAATAAGCTTAAAATATATTTAACTCATTAAGAAATTTTGGTATGTATATTATTTTAAAGTTTAATTCTAATTTAATATAGAAGTATGTATATTTCATAATATTTAGAATATATAACTTTCATTTCAGGAACTATCTCCTGTAAATAACTCAACTAAGAAAACATTTAAAAAAGCACATCACTAAATTTTGAAACCAGTAAAATAGTATTTCTAAAATCACATAGAGAGAAATAGAAAATCATATTGAATAAAAAAAAAAAAAATTAATGCTTTGTAAAAAATAGTGATAATGATTTTACTGAAAATACAAATATATTAGTAAATGATTGATATTTATTAGAAAAATAAATCCCTTAAAGCCATAAGACAAACAGAAAACTATATTTATCACATTAATTCTTGATTACTAGTGTAAAAGACCTATAATCTCAAATATATTCGACAAAGTGTCAAAAAAATTAAGTTCATTAAAATGTAAACGCAACAGAAGGAATATTTTGTGATTTGGCAATTTATATCTCTGATAAGTTTAAGGATAAAATAAAAAAAGAATATTAACACTACATAGAAACTTATAAAAACAGTTGAAATAGAGTATAAAATATAATATCTTGGGGAAAAAATGGGAACTAGATAATAATATTTATGAGAGTAAAAATATAAATGACATATAATTTAGAAAGTGCGAATAATAAAATAAAAATGTTCATAATGTTTAATACTAAATACTAAGATTAATGAAAATTAATGTAGTTGAAGAGAGATATGTTGCGTTAAAAGAATAAATGTGTATAAAAGATTTATTAAATATATAATAAAATATAGTATATTTTTTCCACTTTTTATTTTAGCAACAATTGTTTCTATATTAAGAAAACAATTGTTTTCTGATTTTCTTGGTTGATTTTCGTCTTTTTATCATGCGACAAATTTTATATTGTAAAAAATATCTATATTTTTATCATTAATTCTTTTTCTATACAATCAAATTAAGTAAGAAGAATGTTATGGAATTATAATAATATTTTAATAATTTAAAGAATATTCTATTATAAGCAAAATTGCATCTGAATAGAACAATTTTAAGGATTTCTAAAATTTATTTTATCATATGAGTATATTCATAGACTATACGCATTATATGGAAGTAGTATACATATATGTGTATATAATATATTTATGCCATATAAGATATACTTGCTTTATCAGTTTAATTTATGAATGAAATCCATTCGATATTATTTTTTTTTATATTACAGGTATATTTTACTCATTTTAATTTTAATACATTATTAATATAAGTATACGTAATTATTACGTGAAAAAATAATTTAAAATTTTTTTTTTTGTTTCCTATGCACTTTTCATGTAAATTATTTAAAGGTATATGTTTTGGGCATAATATATTTTATACCAAACTTCGTTTTTATTTAATTATACATTTTTTATTTTATTTGATTAACTTCACGAAGATTTATTAAAAAAATAATTACTAGAAATTATAATATTATTATTATAATTTTTTTAATGAAAAAATTCGTTTACATATATAATGTCATAGCTATGATATATAATTTAAAAGAAAATCTCATGTGTCTTGTTTACATAAAATGACTATGTATATGGAAAATAAAAACTTAGTATAATTTAATATATTAAGAATGTATGATTATATTTATATTTCTATAAAAACTATGAATTCATGCTTTGAATTAAAAAAAACATTAATAATATATTTACAATATTATATTATTATTTTTGTGTTCTAAAATCGAAAACATGAACTTCACGATTAAATTACATATTACTATGAATTATGTACACACACGTGTAAATATAACTATTCTAAATATAATAAAATATTTATAACTAATGAAAATATCATTGTAAATTATTCTTTAATAATACTGGGTTAAAACATTAATATATATATTATAAATAATAATTATTATATAAACTTTATGAAGGATTGATTATGTCAATATTAAATGTAGTAATATACCAACATATTTCACATGAACTTCATTATTTCTTCCATTTCGCTATTGATGTTTCCCTAAAATAATTATTACGCCCAATAGTATAAGTAATAATATGTGTACAGTATTTTGTAGCAATTTATTTATACTACAAGGACTACAAAGAAAAGAATAATTTGTTTTTATAAAAAAAGATTATCCTATATAACTGTTATAAGAATAGAAATTATAATTTCATTAATAATAAATCTTATGATATGTAAACAATAATGAAATTTTTATTTATATTTTAAATATATTAATATATACCTAGAAATGAATGTTGTAAAAGAAGGTTTTCTTTTCCTTAGTGTATAATTTATATTCTTATATTTTAGATTATTAATTTTAAAGCAATGAAAAATAATTTAGTATATTGTTCTAAAATGAAACCTTTAACTCCTAATTTAATTTAGTAATGAGCAAAAAATTGAACCCAAATAGAATGCGAAATGGGGAAAAGGTAAATATGACTAAACAGAAATGGAAATATTTTAATTTGAAAAACTTACAATAAATTATAACTATAAATAAAAATACAAAAAATAGCTTTAAATTATAATTTTTTATATTTGAACTCATTTAAAAATAAATATAGTCCCAAATTTTAGTAAAATGTGGGTGTATCATTACCGGAATAGCAACATGTTTGAACAGATAAATTCACAAACTATATATGAAAAGTTTGAATTATTTTTTTATAAGAACAATTATAAATCATAT